AGAAGCAGACTACCGAGATTTACAGTCACCGTCACTCTAATTTGATTTCTACTATTTTATGCGCTTATACAGATACACCCCCTGATATACACGCAAACTTAAAACTTCAGTCTAATGAATTTGGGTAAGACAACCATTTTCACACCCGGCCAATTGAGACTTCAAGCATTATTACTTTTAGAAGATAATAGTCTTGTCATGCCTTTATTTGATTATGCAGACCTTGTTTGGGGAGACAAGCATAATGTAATCTTAATGACCAGTTTGCAAGTCTTGCAGAATAAGGCTGCTAAAATATTTTTGACAGACCTCTTTATTCATCTGCTACGCATGCGCTTGCCACTCTTAAGTGGAAGATGTATTTATATGTATAAGTGTTTAAATGGACTTGTTGAGCATGATATGAACTTCATAAGACGGCAAGAACAACATAATTATAATACCACAACTAAGCTGAATCTCAGTCGTCCAAGTGTCATGAGGAATTGGGCAAGCAACGGACTGCATTTCATGCCATCAAGGATTTTAACTCCCTTAGCCGGGCAATCAGACACTCCGTGAGTCTGAATATTTTTAAACGTAATCTTTTTAAATTTGTAAATTAAATGAATTTCATGCCATCAAGGATTTTGACTCCCTTAGCCAGGCAATCAGTCAATCCGTGATTCTGAATATTTTTAAACGTAATCTTTTTAAATTTGTAATTTAAATAAATTTGAGTTAATATCTTGTACTTTTTAATAGTTTTTACGTATTTTAGATTTTTAATGTCTTTGCGAATTGTATGTATTTTGTATTTTTTGTATATATTTTTTTATTTTATGAGATCCTTTTTGAAAACCATATTTTATATGAAAAAGTCATCTCAATAAAGATTATTATTAGAGGTAGCTGGAATCTGTTTAACTTACCTTCGCCCTCCATTTCAATAACATCGGCTTCTGAGAAGCGTTGGTTGAGTGCCTCACGCCGCGCACTGCTATCAACACTTTCTGGGCCACTCAGAAACACTCCTTGGTGCATCTCGACCTCAAATTCATTTGGATTCTTCAGTGGGGCTTTCCAACCATGGGCAGCACTTAACATCAGTTTTGAAATATTGGCTTTCAATGGAACTCTTACACCACGTTCTGTAATGCCTTCGTCCGTGACTTTGGAGGAGGAATATGATATCAGTTTCACTGACACTACCACGTCCCCAAGTTTTACTTTTGCAAGGTCTAAGACACCACAGCAACCCACACTGAATACCGCTTTGGGCCTCAAGACTTCGACTGCTTTCATTACGACAACACAAGATCCTTGTGGAACGGTGGATCCTGTGTAACACTTCACCACAGCGATCTTTAGCATCATGTCATCGTTCCCAATTTCGCCTAGGTACACGTCTTGACGAAGCTCTTTGCAGTAACTTCTACAGAAGTGGCGATTGAAACACGAAATACAAGCTAGAAATTCCCAATCCTTCACCGTCAAAAGCAAAATATCGATTGGCAATTGACGCTTATCCAGTACTACAGTTACCTCCGGTGGATTACTCGTATTTTTCAGTGATTCAGTGACTATGGAGAAAAACAATATAATAAAAAAAGAAAATAATAATTAAGCTCCGTATTTTCTGTTTCCTGTCTCCAGCTTAAGGTAGCTGAACACAGTTTCTCTGACAGAATTGCGCGCGCTAAGAAATTTCACTGACGCAATTGTTTCCGTGCGCACAATAGACTGACGTGATGTGAAGAAAATAAAAAGCTAAATGAAAAGGTTTCGCCCCTAGAAATGCTTTATCTCTCTACTGTTAACAACTTAATTATGAGAAGATATCCAGCCAATGGAATTTTCTAGAAAAAAATCTCAGGAACAGCTGAGAAAAATGGACAGAAGATGACTGTTTATTCTGTTTCCGTCGGTCACTTTTGCCATATCACATGACCCAGCGCGCGCACAAGTGTTGAGGATGCGTACTTAGGAAAATATGAGAGCGCTTATTTTGTTGACTTTCATAGACAATGTAAAGAAACGAACATAAAAAATTTGACGAAATTTGGCAACATTCATGTCAATATCGCACTTGAATGGGTACCGTGTCGGAAGCATTTTGTGGAAACGACCGAAATTGAAATTGCTGAAAACAATGGCGAATTGGTGCAGTTGGATGCGGGTAAAACCATCGTGAATCTCGTGCTTAGAAAAGTTTAAATAGAAGGACTATCCACAACCAACACCTCATTTGCTACAAACATGCAACGTGTCGTGAGTGATAAGACGCCTGAATATCCTGACAATGAAAACCATACCTTTAAAGTACGACTACCTGCCCCCTTACATCTGTCAGGGCATGGTTGGGAAGTGGCGCTGATTCGCTCAGTATGCCTGCGACTAGTCATAGACATAATGCTCTATTGAGCACAAGTGAAAACCCCATACAGGTTGATTTTTGTATCCACGAAGTAGGGAACAGTTCATTTAGGATGTCAAGGGTTTATGACACCTCAGAGTTTATTGGAAGTCGGCAGCGGTCTGGACATGATGAAAAATTTAAAACAGCATTTCGATAACAGTGTGCAAACAGCTATTCAAAAAAAGCTCGCTCAATATTATGGACAAGATGCCCAACGTGTCACCGCTCGTTAGGAAGGCCATGATTTTGTGGTGGGGAGAAAAGCCTATCAGATTTTATATTGTCATTGATATGGCACTGAACATGAAATGGGTTGTGAAAGTGGGGGATAAATATTACCCAAACCCGACCAATTTAAACTTTTGCTTACCCTACGAGAATAGCACCAAACGTTATAATGCTATTACCGGGACAGAATTTTATAGCAATAACAAAGATCTGATTCAAGTCAGTTAACATGAAAGGCTTCAGTTTTCCTTGATGGTGGATTGGATGTTTTCCAATTTGGATCCCTGTTTTGAGGAAGCAGTGACTCATCCCTGTATTCCGACTTGGTTCAGAGCCAAATTGTGGGACAACAAAAAACAGATCTTTTAGCAGAAGCCCATTGCAATACACAGCAACAAGATACCATTTATTATGAACCCAAACAGATTCAATGGGTTCATTGCCGATTCCAACACTGTATCGAAACGATTGAAACACAATCACGAGAAAATGATGGTTCTTTGGTAGAGTTGGATCAAGGAAAAACATTCATGACGGTCTTCTTCAGACAGGTATAAATGTTCGCGTTCATCACAAGATTCCAAACATTCCATAACATGAGTTTCATACGCTATCAATCACCGATGACTGATGGAAGTATAACGCGTTACCATACACCGGCCATGCAGGGAAGAGGATTGAAACAAGATGTGATTTTTGAAGTCGGGCCCGTCACTATAGAATCCAGTCAAAAAGCCTTGTCCAAGCAACAAGACGGAAAATCTTTGTTAGAGGTAGGGACACATTTCGCTCAGGATATTAAACGAGGGGTCAAACGTAAAGCACCTACTATTGTTGGTTTTCACATGACGTCACTAAAATTCAAACTACAAAACTATCGATCCCACTGAGATTTTACTTTCGTGATGTATTAGAGCAGCTGAAAACTAATTTTCATACAAATTTTTGCTTCAAAAGGGTTCTTGGTTTTGTGAATTTCTAAGCTTTTGCGTGACGTGGTATTTACATGACGGTCGTCGTGAGCTGTCATGTAGGTTAAAAAAAGTGACTTATTACGGGGAATTTTTCTATCTAAACAGTTCATGGATACGAAAAAGTATTACTTTCATGTTTATGAGTTCCTCGAGGAATAAATTCACGCTTTTGTACCCAAACTCGGTAACAGATGTTTTTGTTGGTTTCCGTCCGCCACGTTTGGTGCCCATCCAGGTGGGCACCAGCATAGCGTCTCCATACAAATCTCTATAAACTTGGGTAAAACATTTCTCCGGATATCTCGTATACGGAATGTTCGTCTGATCTGAATCTTGGCGAGGAACTTGGTATATTTACCTCCTTTCATTTCCAAGATTCCGGACTTTATCTATTGAACGCTTTTGATTTTGATTTTGATCTATTTTGAATGGCGTGACACTGAAAACCAGCAATTGCAACACAGCTCGTGAAAAGAGCGGTGAAGCGAAAAGTGAAACGAATCTTCAAACAAGTGTTTTCGACATGAAACGAGTCGCTTAAGTACCCCGATTCCTTTTTTACCAAGACAATATGGTCGTGGTATCTCTAAACGCATAAAAAGGACAACAGTCAAGTTTATTTATTGATGTAGTAAATGTTCATTTAATGAAAGTGTCGACTTCCTAGCTATGGCTATCAGTGACTCCTCTTCCTTAAGACATATCAGTTCAATCTTTGCAAAGTTGCTCTTTCCAGTGGTGTCAACTGTCTGGTCCATGTGCAAAATTTAAGTAAAGAGACTGTGGAAGGGTCTATTGTTAAAGCTGGGCATTTAAAAAACCTAGATCGGATCGGATCAACTGCTATAACTTAGTGATTGACAAAAGGTTAAGGATAGAGTTACAAGGGTTGATCCGATTCACGTTTTGTCAACAGACGTTGCGGCTTACCTTGTAAAGACCACGATTCATCATGCGACTCTGAGCGTGAGCTGGAAAGATTTAAACTCTGCAAAGAAAAAATACCACCTTTATTTAATGCTAGTTCGATATACCTAAAAGTGTAGGTCCATCGTGTAGGTGCCTGTTCACTCTTCGCGCCGTCAGTCACGCGCGTGGTCATTTGCGTGTCTCGCGCGTTTCGCTCGACGGACCTAGAAAAAAGAGAGACTGCTCGAGGTCTTACTGGATGCCTATAGAATTTTTTTTAAGGTTCTACACTTTGAATTGTTTGCGATGTCGTTAACTGTTATTAGGGAGCTTTAGCAACGACGACGGCGACGGCGACGGCAACGGCAACGACGACGCCACAATTGGTAAATTCAAAGCGAATTCGCATTTTTGAAACTTTGTCGCTATAATTCCAGCTCGCTTACAATGACAAACGGATGAATTTCCCTGCAGTTGAGTTCTTGGAGACTGCACTCAGGTTAGAAAAAGGAATAAGAATTGATCGTCGTGTGTTACCGTCCTTCATATAACATCGCATAACGTCGCGGTCGTGCCCTAACGGCAAAGTAATGTACCAAAAAGTTTTCACTTGTTTCTCCAAACAAACGAATTCAGTTTTTTCGTTCTCGTTGCTGTCGCAGTCGCCGTTGCTAAAACTCCCTATTATTATGTAATAACAGAACACAGCTAATTTTTACTGTAACCTCGAGTATACTATGATGATATTTATTTACATACTTTAAGCTGTAACAGTAGCGCTATATAATTTAGTTAGCAAACAGCAGTCATCACACGGTTAATATGGTTGTACATCCAGGACGTACCTTTGACACGTGTTCTATGGCCCTAATCCAAGGCTTGAGTGGCTCCTTTTCCAGCATTTGACCAGGCTTACAACAAAGGAGCCCTCCTTCCAAAGGTATGTAGTGACCACAGTCATGGTGCCTACATGACCTTTCTTCGTGCCGGGCGCAGGGCTTTGTCGCTTTTCCCATGCACACTGTGCATCGAGCGCACAATGTATAAGACATTGAATGCAGCCAGTGACACTCCTTTCGTAGCTTTTTCAAGAATTTTTTCAACTGGCTACAAAAAAGGAAGAAGAGATTTCAAAGAGGGATAGGAAGCTTACTAAATAAGCTTTCTGAATCACTTGTAAAATGTACTATGTAGCTAATTTTTAATTCTTATGAAAATTCTTGATTATAGAAGTAACAAACTTTCCTTTGAAAGAGCAACTAGACGTTTTGTAACAAAGGCTATCAGCTCATTGTCTGGAAAAATGTCTTGCATTGTGCTTACACTATTTATTTCTTGTTTAACTTTCTCATTGTGATGCGGGGCACGCACCCGGCCCGCAGCAATTTTGCATAAGATTAATTATGAGTAAAAGATAACAGGTAAATTCTGCATCCGAGCCAAGTAGCCCATTAGGCCGGAGCCCATCCCAGTTTCCGTGGCAGCTGCGAATGTTTCCGTACTCTCCCCTAAATGGAATGCCCCCCCCCCCCCCCCCAGCAGTATGTCACCGGTACCCACTAGGTGAAGAGAGACAAAGTGGGGCAAAATTTCTTGTCTAAGAAACAAGGCGCGATGGAAGGCTCGAAACTGGACCTCCAGTTTCGAATTTCTAGGTGTTACATTAACAGCTCGGCCATTGCCCCTCTGATTAAATTTGGGGATTGCTAATGCGCGAGCCTGCGAGCCGGAGCCTTTTTGTCGAACCGGAGCGAGCCGGAGCCATTTTTTGGCTCGCAAAAAGAGGCTGAAGGCTCGCCAAAAAATGGCTCCGGCTCGCGAGTTCGCGTATTAGTTACACTCTTTTTTAATTTGGTCACGATACTGTTTACCTCCAAACGTCATAATAAAGCTTTTGTGGAGGAGTACTGCCATGGTCTGTAAAAATTTGCAGCTTAATGACTGTCTTGTAGCACAACAACTGAAGAACATGGTTTCCATTGTCCAAGGCAATTTTGGCTTCATTAGCGTACTCTAGGCTGTACATATTTTTAAATTGAGAAGTTTTTCCAAACAGCACAACCAGTCGGCAGAACAGTCCATATGGTACGTATTTAGTTTGAAAGGTGAGGTAAAGCGGGGCAGCGTTTTCTTTTCCTTCCTCGCCTTCATAAAAGGTAGTCAGCATACAGGGGACCAGGATCTGTGATTCTCCTTTTTTTGTCTCTTCTGCTTTCTCTGGCCACTTGCAAATGAGGTTGAACTTACCCATCAAAGAAATCAAAGAGTCTTTGATAAGACCCACGTTTTCTTTTCTACAGGTATGATCAATTAATCGTTCACGGAGAACTCCTTCTTCTGCCAATTTCTCACGATCTTTTCTTATCCACAACAGTTCGTTATCATCCGGTTTCACTTTGATAATCTCACAGAGTACATTGATTAACCACTGGGGATTCAAGACAATCAGACCACCTTTCTTTTTATCATGTTCGTGTTCATGGTACACTATTGTTCCACGGCCATGCAAAAAATACACAAGCTCATCAAAGTCGCCCTCATCCTCAAACGTGCAGTAGCGTGAAACAATCTTTTCTTGAAAGGATTCCAGCAGAAGGTACTTTTCATGTTGCCAGTCGGGTCGGCAAATTTCTTTCTCAACACGATGCCATTGCAGAGGGATTTTTCTCTTGGTATGAGGCATTTTATCGGCCAACTCTAAGATCTTTTTTCGTAACCCAGTGATTTCCTCCTGGTCGGTTGATTTTCCAGATTTTGTGTTATCAATCGGAAGATAATCTGCGATGTGTGGTAAATAAGTGTATTCATCGAACACACCTGAACACTTCTCTTCTACTACAGATTCAATCGCTTGACGTGGATCGTCTACACAGTCAGCATGGGTACCGACAAGTATGACTGGAGGATACGAAAGACCATCGCTCTGAAAATTCGTCTTTAAAGAGTGAATCAAGTCCATCCACCTAAGTAAGTGATCCAAATTGGTTTCCTCGCTATCGCGGGCTGTTGCAACGAGCTCTTTGTGTCCCACATTGACTCGACATTCTGCTTTTTCGCTCAATTTCTTTGTAAGATCAAACACGAGGAGATAAATGTCATCTGAGGACATAAAGATTGGATGAATAGCACGATAGATGTCTTGTCCAGCAAAATCCCAAATGATGGGCCAAATTTTTTCATCAGTGTCAGCTTCATTTTTCTCTAGGTGTTCTTCTAATACTCTGGCGATCTCATCTGGAACGCCAAATGGCTTCTTTTGATTTTCAAGGTCTTGGTCTTCTGGAACAAAAAAGAATAATTTTCTGTGTCATTAGTGAAACTCTTCTAGTATTCACGCTAATGCAAATCCAGCCTTTCGATTGTCTGACAGAAACATGGGACTCCACCGAAAAATACTTGTTGAAATCACTAGTAAGTGCCTCCTATATTTGTGATAAAATAAAGAGGAGCAAAAGTTTTCTCTTGTTTTTCTATCCTACCTGCTGATAAAATCTCGAGTTCGCCAACTTTAGGCCTGAAAGATCGGAAGCCGAGTCAGAGGGGTGTGTTTCCTTAGCCTGCGTCGCAGACACTCTAAACCTTTATAGGACTATACAAATGGTTTTAATAGACGACGCGTGTCATGCTGCAACCCAGGCTAGAATTTCCTCAGCATGATGGGCAATGAATCTATTACCTTGTTCTCTCCACAGCATGCGTTCCGTCTTATTTTACTTACGATTTTTCTGGGCCTCGTTTTCCCTGACCTCCCTAGAAGCTTCGTCCTGTTGGAGGAGTTGAGTTTTTCCTTCATCTGCTTTTTCCTTGACATCCCTAGAAGCTTCTTTCTGTTGGAGGAGTTGAGGTTTTCCTTCATCTGCATTTGACGAAATCGGGTTTTCTGTGTGGTTATAGAAAAACAAAATAGTGGAATGCAAGAAATTAGTGTTGAAATACATAGCCTGCAAAACGCTCACAGATTATCCACCTTCAGGGCTTGAAAGATCGGAAGTCAGAGAGGCAGATCTTCTCTGATGGCCTACGAGTCTACTACCTTGTTCTCTTTATACGTTCTGTCTATTTTTTAGTACCCCGTTGCGGGACTATATGATATCTTATTAAAAAAATCCGTCAACTTAAAAGTCCATCCGTGTTTAATTAGCCTATCCTGGGGAGAGCAAGGAGGAGGGTTAATGCTACCAACCCAAAGGTTGCTCAGTTTTGATTTTTCAGAACCATTTAATTGCTAGAAACTTTTCCCTTCAGTTGCCTTTTATACATTCCTTAGAAAATTGTATATAGCGGCAGGCGCGGATCCGCACCGGTTTACGAAAATAGGTCAGATTTTTCATAATAAACATATTGTTAATAATAATAATAATAATAATAATAATAATAATGATTATAACAATAAGAATAAGCTTAAGAAGAAGAAGAGGGAGAATAATAATAATAATAATAATGATAAAATTTTTCTAAGTTGACTGGCTAGGGAGAAAATCCAAAAATTTCCTTGGGGAGCATATCCCCAGACGCCCTTAAAAGCTTGCGCCTTCCTCCCTCGCTTAGGAAATCGGTTAGTATTCATCCTAGATCCGTGCCTGAGCGGCCATGTATTAAGCGGCCAGTTTTCTAAGTCCCGATTTTTCGCCCATACAAGCGCTGTATCTGTTTTGATGTTTTGCAACGATTGCCTTAATTTTGTGTCGTAGAAAAAGTGTGTTTTCTGGATATTTCTACCCCGTTTACGCAAATTGAAGACGTGTTCTTTTCTTTTTTCCTTCAAAGAAAATTTAAATCTTTTTCGCAAACCAATGAGGTCCTAAAAGAGCTTTCCCGGGCCAAACGCTGTCAGAACTTTTGAGAAAGAGCCTCTCGAACTCAAGGATTCTTTTGGAATAATTATCACTTAGAGGAAAAATAAAAGAAAAGAAAATGTTTCGGACGCTTACCATCTTGAACAAATAACTGATCTGTTTTGTTAGACGCTTCAATTCTTAGTCGTTTCTCTGCTGGCTGCTCCGAATGTTTGCTTAATAAATCCTCAGCAGTCTTTGCAGCAACCTTATGATCAAATACTGTTGTGTTCTCAAGAAATGATGGATTTCTCCACGCGCCTGTTCCAGCATTTTTGATAGCAGGGATCATTTGCACTCCCTCGGTACTGAGTTCGGCTTCATTAAAAGGTTCACCTCTTAGAGCTTTACCGAGGCTCGTTTTGCCCACACGATCTTGCCCTACGAGCAAAACCTTGACACGTTTATCATATGTGCTACCACTTGTCTCAATTGCCCTGTGGTAAGCAGCAAGTGCCTTGTCTCCTCTAGCTCGCACAAAGGCTGGAGTCAAATCTGAAAGTTAAAAGAATCGGTTTAACAAGTTATTAGAGGTGACATCAGGTTTCATACTGATGTTAAATAAGCTACGTCTCTAGACGCGATCATGTATCATCTTACAGCTTTAGAAAGATTACTGCACAGTGATTGTTTCTTTAGAGATTAAGAGTTTATATAATTACTAAGAACTATAGAAAATTCAAGATTTACGCCACGATCCGGCCAGGACCGTAGCGAGACATTTAACGCAGAAAATTGCAAAATCTAGAGGCCTTGAGCCACATTGTATTTTAGGCAGTTTTAGAAAATTCAATCTTGTTTAAATCGAGACGAGGCGCTTGCCTCGTCTTGCCTTATGCCAGCTACGACCTCGCGATTAAGCTGGTACTTAGTTTACTGCTACATTCCCCTGGTAAAGACAATGTACCTGTCACTATTTTTTTGACTGAATGAGACAGAAATACAATACTTTCAAATAGAGAATACTTCATGGAAAGTGCTGGCGTACGGTATTTACGCACGAGTTGTTGACGTATCAGAAATCGAACGAGTGAGCGCAGCGAACGAGTAAGATTTCTGATACAAAAACAACGAGTGCGTAAATACAGTACAAAGCACCTTCCATGTGGTATTGTGTTTGTTATATACATACTGAGACATTCATTTTGGCGGCCTTTTTATTTTAAATCGTTCAAAAATGCTAAAATTTGCCGCTGCACACTTACCGCAAAACGACAACGAAAACGAAGTATCAGCTTTTTAGTAAAAACGTTTGTTAAAAACATAAATGACGGTAAGGATATGAGGTAATCCAAGAACTATAAGTAATCTTAACTGTTTGTTCTCAATGCACAATTGAAAATGAGTGAATTCAAGTAAAATGGCCGGTTTCAATATAAGCTTAAGCTTATTAAGAGGCTGTCTCAGTAAAAACCGCCCACTCAATTTCGCGTGAAAAATTATTTTTCCTGAAACTCTGGCGAGTGAAACGCTTTATCGAGACTATAAATAAAATAGGTTTGCTTTGATTCACAATAATATTCTGGCCGCGCTGGGGGACGCCGAGTATTTTGTCCCGCCACGGCCATTTTGCACGTCTTGAAAACTGAAAATTTGGCATTTTTTGCGGCACTGTAAAAAGTTTGATTTGCACCATCTACCAATGAATTTAATGCCTATTTATAGGTAAACATATCTAGTTTTTCCTGAAAGTAATAGTTATCCGCTAAATTTAGCTGGAAAGACGAAATCGAGCAAAATATGACCCCAACTAATTGCCTTGAAGCGAAAGGTCAAAAATTACACTGTTTCAAAAGCTTATTTCTGACTTTTGGGACATAGTTGAAAGCTCTAGACTAAATAGACGCAAAGATAGACCATCTGTTATTGATAATATAAAAAACTCCATGTACGATTTCAGTATTTTAAAAGTTATGACCGTTTGTATCAACGCGCATGCGAGCTAATACGATATTTTCAGATTTTGATTAACGGATCTTCCTCAAGCAGATTTTGTCAAAAGTACGGCTTACCTAATTCATTACTGGCACTGACTCACAAATTGAGCCATATTCCAATCCCTGAGATGCCGGACCCCATAAAATTCCAGTAAATGTGCTTTAGAAACTGCTGGTATGCTGCCATTTTTGAATCCCATGCTAACAATCCGAAGCTCAAAACAGGTGTCACGTTTCGAGCTAAATAGCTCGGTAAAACAACCGTTCAGAGGTAAACGTTTGCTCGAGAATCAGAAAATCAACTAGGCAGGTCTCATTTTGGATCAGAAAATTGAGATTTCAGACCTACAACCTCGAATAAACCGTCTATTCAACCGCCTCTGCAAGGTCAAAGGCAGGTTGACATGTAAACCGGAAACGTTGAAACCCGGAAATGGGGAAAACCGGAAATGCGGAAATCTGGATCATCCGGAAATCGGCAAATCTGAAATCAATCAGAAGCCGAAGGCAATTCCAACAATTAGAGACAGCTGCATTCGTTTAGGGCTTCTTTTCGACGTTGAGACACGTAAAAGATAAAACCCTCCAAACCAGCGTAGCTATTTGATTTTCACTGAACTGAAAAGCAGTTCCACGATCGATTGCGTTTGGCAAATAGGCGCCATTAGAAACAGTAAATATCATTAGCCGGTTACAAACATTCTATGTGCGCTAACATATCACACTTGTGACTGATACTTTACAGAAGTTGGCTATATATCGAAACTGAATGTTTGGAGATCTAAGAAACCGAGCCAGCTCGGTTGTCTGGGCTTATTAGTATAGAGGGTCCTTGAAAGTCGCTTGTTAAGGGGGCATTCTGGTTGTCTTTTTCGGGGAAAATGATGGTGATTTTGGAAAGAAATAAATAAGAGTAGGAAAGGTATGCACATAAAGCCTTGTTGGAGTCTCTGGTATCTTCTGATTATTCACTTCATATTTTAATTTCTAGCAACCCCCTAATCCAATATTTTCCAACTTTTCCAACATTTTTAACATCCTCCTTAATTTTTATGCATTAAAAACATTCGAAGAATCATCCAGAAATTCTCCAAAAATTATTGAACCAAGGCCTCAATCTTAAATGAGTCATTTTTTGATTCACGGATAACTTGGATAGCGGATAACGCGAGGAGAGCAGAGGAAAGTCATTTGGATTATAGGGTATGGTTGCAAGAAAGTGCTATTTAATCTAGACTAGCTTTAAGAAAGGATTTAATTCTGTATGCGTGTTTAGAATATTCACACCGAATGGTAACACTAGTGGCACGTCCTAAGAGCGACCCTTTTTTTAGACCAAAAATCCGATGCAATATGGCCAAGAAAGGCGCTAAGACACTTTGTTTTAAGATTAGCTAGAAAACACAGTTAAATGGTCGAAAAAATATAATAATCCTACATTTGTCGATAAATTTGGGTTTTCTGACCCAAAACGAAATCTGCTTAGCTGATGTTTTGATTCTCGGACAAGTCTCTCCTCCGGACATTTCTTTTATTTTCTTTCTTACCCAGCTATTTATCTCTAAACGTGACATACCGTAAAATTCCGAAAATAAGCGCCCCGGGTCTTATATTTTTCAAAGGCCCTTTTTGAGGGGCTTATTTTCGGACCGGCTTATATTCGTAGGAGCTTATTTACGGAGGGAAGTTTGCGTTTAAAAATCGATTGGGCTAGCTTATAGTTGGAAGGAAATTAACCGTTTTGCTTTGTTTTACTTTGTACTTGAGGGCAATTTTCCAAGCACAAGACCCCGGGGTCTTATATTGGGTCGAGTTTGGGGGAGCTTATACATGGAGGGGCTTATTTCGGAATTTTACGGTAGTTTCAGCATGGGATTCAAATATGGCCACATACCAGCAGTTTCAAAAGCGCATTTACTAGAATTTTGAATGAAATATTGGTCAATTTTCAGTCAGTGCCAGTAATGAATTAGGTAAAGTTTGGGAGGAGACGGAGGAGGAAAATCTAGTTCCTGTTGTAAAAATAGTCAAAGGGACGGGAGAAGATTCAGGAAGAGGATCAGTAAAATTTGAAGAAGGCTTTCTCCCATTCACTCAAGCCTTCCCCTCCCTGATCGGTTTCTTATAAACTTACTCACCGGCCGGGACTATTTATCCGCTCTTAACAAACGATTTTCAAGGACCCTCTATACTAATAAGCCCAGACAACCGAGGTGGCTCGGTTTCCTAGATCTCGAAACATTCAGTTTCGATATATAGCCAACTTCTGTAAAGTATTAGTCACAAGTGTGATATGTTAGCGCACATAGAATGTTTGTAACCGGCTAATGATATTTACTGTTTCTAATGGAGCCTATTTGCCAAACGCAATCGATCGTGGAACTGCTTTTCAGTTCAGTGAAAATCAAACAGCTACGCCGGTTTGGAAGGTTTTATCTTTTACGTGTCTCAACGTCGAAAAGAAGCTCTAAACGAATGCAGCTGTCTCTAGTTGTTGGAGTTGCCTTCGGCTTCTGATTGATTTTAGATTTGCCGATTTCCGGATGATCCGGATTTCCGCATTTCCGGTTTTCCCTATTTCCGGGTTACAACATTTTTTTTCACGTGTCAACCTGCATTCGACCTTGCAGAGCCGGTTGAATAGAAGATTTATTCGAGGTTGTAGCTCTGAAATCTCAATTTTCTGATCCAAAATGAGACCTGCCTAGTTGATTTTCTGATTCTCGAGCAAACTTTCACTTCTGAACGGTTGTTTTACCGAGCTATTTAGCTCGAAACGTGACACAGTTTCACCTGTTTTGAGATTGTTAGATCTTGTTAGCATAGGATTCAAAAATGGCCGCATAACAGCAGTTTCTAAAGCACATTTACTGGAATTTTATGGAGTCCGGCATCTCAGGGATTGGAATATGGCTCAATTTGTGAGCCAGTGCCAGTAATGAATTAGGTAAGCCGTACTGACGAAATCTGCTTGAGGAAGATCCGTTACGCTAAATCTGAAAATACCGTATTAGCTCGCATACGCGTTGATACAAACGGTCATAACTTTTAAAATACTGAAATCGTGCATGGGATTTTTTATATTATTAATAACAAATGGTCTATCTTTGCGTCTATTTAGTCTAGAGCTTTCAACTATGTCCCAAAAGTCAGAAATAAGCTTCTAAAACAGGGTAATTTTTGGCCTTTCGCTTCAAGGCAATTAGTTGAGGCCATATTTTGCGTGATTTCGTCTTTCCAGCTAAATTTAGCGGATAACTATTACTTTCAGGAAAAACTAGATATGTTTACCTATAAATAGGCATAAAATTCATTGGTAGATGGTGCAAATCAAACTTTTTACAGCACCGCAAAAAATGCCAAATTTTCAGTTTTCAAGACGTGCAAAATGGCCGTGGCGGGACAAAATACTCGGCGCCCCCCAGCGCGGCCAGAAAATTATTGTGAATGAAAGCAAACCTATTTTAGTTATAGTCTCGATAAAGACTTTCACTCGCCAGAGTTTCAGGCAAAATAATTTTTCACGCGAAATTGAGTGGGCGGTTTTTACTGAGACAGCCTCTTAAATGAAAGGCAAAGTAGGTCCGACAAAAAGCACAACAAAAGCTTATTACGTCTCGTTCTGTTTTTCCTTTTCCGCTGTTGTTTCGGCGGCTCTCTACCGTTTTCTTTATCGACAGTGAAACAAACGAAACTATTCCACTCCATTTCCGAAAAGTTTTTCACTTTCTTAGCGAGAAAAACTCTTTGAGTAAAACTTTTATCGTTTAATGTGTGCGAAGCGGCGTTGCAAGCTGCAATAAAAGGCGGGAATTTTGGCGCGAAACTCACACACCTCTGTGGCTTCTGATTGGACGTATCATTTTTCTCGCACGTGAAAAAACATCGTTCGCGATTCTGATTGGACATATCATTTTTTTCACATGTGAAAACCATCGTTCGCTCCTCTGATTGGCTGGAACTAATTTGCGTACGAAAATTTACGAAATAGCGTTGTGGTGAGTATTTCTCAGTATGTATATAACAATAAAATATGTGTAGCAAGGAGTATACCTTACCTTGGTTATTGTTAAGCTTATATTTGGTGATGTCTTCATCGTCCTCCAATTTTTCTTTGGGAGACAAAAAAATCTTCATGATGTGGTTGAAACCGAGGCGGAAGCATAAAAAACACATATTTGCACTTTATTAACGTGATTTTAATAAAAATCGCGTAATTTAATGCATCTTAGTTTACGTCGATGTTAATTCAAATCACCCTATTTTACATCATTGTTTGTTTTACAGCACCTTTCTTTCAATAATAAAACCTCGTCTGCTCATAGTTCCTCCATCAACGCCTAAGAGTCACTATCTGGCAGTTCTTCTTTAAGAATTGAGTTCAAAATGTCTTTTGATTGGTCTTCCCCGAGGGGATACCTAACTTCTTCAGTTTTTCTTCTTAAAATTTCCATATACGTTTATTTATGTTTTTTTCACCTTTAGATATATATGTTGAGAAGTTTGTATTGCAACAAATTTGCTTAAAATCAAGTTAGTAAAAGTAACTTTTGGAAAATTCGCGTTAATTTTGTGTAACGTAAATTTTCTTAGCGTTGTCAACGTGCATCGTTAATTTCCTATAATAAGGTTATCCCACTGAGTTATCGATCGTTTTCCCTCAGAATGTGGAATATTACACAAACTATGAATGTCAAGAAAAAACTTTTCCCACAAAAAATTAAAATTAACGTTTTTCTGCAGAAGATTACAAAAACATCTCAAGATTTATCCAAAAGGTCTAGACAGCAGCAACAATATAGATAGCCGCATAAACATTTCAAATTCCTTTAATTTACCAGACATGTTTCGACGGTACCTCCTTCATCTTCAGTGTTACATATTTTGAAATCGTCGTTGTAACAAAGTTCGTTACATTGCGTTGGCAATATTGCGTACTAAAAAGTTTACTGAATTAGTGACGTTTAGCTACTTACAGGGAGAGAGTCAGGTTTATGTGTTTCACCTGCTGGTTGAGGGCGGGTTTCTCCCATTTCCTTAAGCTTTACTTGAGTCTTACTTCGTACTTAGTGGGGTCCTTAGTAGCTGCAGAGTCCAGGATCTCGAAGCAATCTGGTGTGCCGGATGTTCGACAAAACTCTGAACTCTGCAGATCTTCAAGCGCTTGAAGACCTGTCGGAAAGTATGTGCCCGCACACTCGTGTGGAGAAATGTCGGCTGGTTTCACCAACATAACAAGCATTACAACTCGTCTTCCACACGAAATTTATAAACCACACGCGTGCGAAGCCCGTCAGGGACAGCAACTTTCACATTAAAAAGATTCGTGAGCCTTGTATCAATAGCTACCAATGAACAGGTAAAGCTTCAGGATCTATGTTCATAAAATGGGAGAAACCCGCCCTCAACCAGCAGGTGAAACACATGAACCTGACTCTCTCCCTGTAAGTAGCTAAGCGTCACTAATTTAAATTTTTTAGTACGCAATATTGCCAACACAATGTAACGAACTTTGTAACATCGCGCGAGATTTAAATTTAAGGGCGATTTCAAAATATGTAACACTGAAGATGACGGATGTACCGTCTAACCGTAACTGGTAAATTAAAGAGAGTTGTTGCGTTTATGCGGCTATCTCAAGATTTGCTTTTACAAGTCAGAGCTGTATTAAGGAATTTAGCCACCGGAGCCTTGCCACCAAATTGAGTAAGAAATAAGTATAGGTAATAGCATGACTAGTAGTCATATTTGGCATAAGACCACGAGTGATATTTCAACATTGTTATACGTAATTTCACTAGCCTACCTTCTTCCACGCGGAAAGATTACCTGTTTTGTATACCAGCTACTGTCCTTTTCTAATAGAAAAATCAGCTCTTCGGCGGAAAAGGTTTCGGTAATACATTAAATTGGAAAACGACTCGGATAATTGAAGAAGTTGATCGCGCTGGCTGGCGCCTTCAACGCGCTTTTACGGAAATAACACGGGAAAGACGGTATTTTCAAAAATGTTTAGACTTTCCAAATATTGTTGTTGAGGTTATTTTGTGGGTTATTGAAAAGGAAGGGTCCAAAGATCAAGGGAAATAAACTGAAAGCGTTGGAAGTCCGCCTGAGGTACAACCGTACAAAGTGACAAACTACTCTTAACCAGCTGAGGAAACGAACTTTTTCGGGTAATGGATTCATTATAACCGTCACGAATAAGGAGACATTCCATGCCAACTTTGCCCACTACAGTTACCGTAGCTACTTGCTGTAGTTACAGTAGTTGGTGTAGTTAGTGCAGTTGGTGTAGTATGTGTAGTTGCTGTAGTTGGTGTAGTATGTGTAGTTACTGTAGTTAGTGTAGTATATATGTGGTTGGTGTAGTTGCTCTAGTTACTTTAGTTGGTGTAGTAGCTGTAGTCGCTGTAGTATGTGTAGTTGCTGTAGTTGTTGGAGTTGGTGTAGTTGGTGTAGTATGTGTGCTGCAGTTACTGTAGTTGGTGTAGGTGGTCTAGTTGGTGGTTAGTGTAGTATGTGTAGTTACTGTAGTTAGTGTAGTATATGTAGTTGGTATAGTTGCTGTAGATACTATAGTTGGTGTAGTAGCTGTAGTTGGTGTAGTTACTGTAGTTGTTGGAGTTGGTTTAGTTGGCGTAGTATGTGTAGTTAGTGTAGTCGGTGTAGTAAGTGTAGTTGGTGTAGTTGGTGCAGTTGGTTTAGTTGCTGTAATTGGTGTAGTTTCTGTAGTTGGTGTAGCATGTGTTGTTGCTGTAGTATATGTAGTTGGTGTAGTAACTGTAGTTGGTGTAGTAGCTGTAGTTGGTGTAGTATGTGTAGTTGGTGTAGTATGTGTAGTTAGGTGTAGTTGGCGTAGTTACTGTAGTTGGTGTAGTATGTGTAGCTGGCGTAGTTACTGTAGTTGGTGTAGTTACTGTAGTTAGTGTAGTATGTGTAGCTGTCGTGGTTGGTGTAGTTGGTGTAGTTAGTGTACTTGGTGTAGTTGGAGTATTTAGTGTAGTCGGTATAGTATATGTAGTTGGTGTAGTTAGTGTAGTTGGTGTAGTTGTTTTAGTTGGTGTAGTTAGTGTAGTTGCTGAAGTTGATGTAGTTTGTTTAGTTGGGGTAGTTAGTGTAGTTGCTGTAGTTAGTGTAGTTGGTGTGGTTGCTGTAGTTGGTGTAGTATGTCTAGATGCTGTAGTTGGCGTAGTATGTGTAGTTGCTGTAGTTGGTGTAGTATGTGTAGTTGCTGTAGTTGGTGTAGTTGGTGTAGTTAGTGTAGTTGCTGTAGTTGGTGTAGTATGTGTAGTTGGTGTAGTTTGTGTAGTATGAGTAGTTGCTGTAATACAGGAACAGGACTTAAAGTGAGGTTCTTGGAATTAGCAACCTTCTCTTACCATTGCCGTCAGACGGTTGCTAATTTCAGATAGCTAAAACGTGTACCGTACACATACACAGTTAGGCTTAAGTTCAATTTTTTAGATGTGAGCATATGCATATGTAAAGACTGATTGCCTTAAATACATCGTTTACTAGTTTTGTTCTTGGCAAAACGATTTATTACGGTATCCCTATAATTATATACGGGTATTTAGGACAGAACAAGAAAATACTTTTTGGAAAAAAATGTAATGTACAATCACTTTATGATAGTTACATGTATGTATTTTCCTTTGAAAAGGAAAATCAAAAACCAATATAGTCATAAAAATAAAACACGAATCAGTTAAATATAGCTTGTGGTGTTAATCTGTTTTCGTCATTTCTTGCAAAAAGGGAAAATTACTTTTGAGGTCGCTACTTTTGGGGCTCGTTAATTTCCGGCAGGAAATTGACGGTGGGGGTTTGCTAACACCTGCGAAATCTTAACGCAACTTTCTGAGGGTTGGTTCTTTGGGGGGCTCGTTACTTTCTAAAACTTTACGGTAATATACCAATGAGGTGTTTATTGCTGCGATCATCTACCCAACACAATGCAAAAGAAATGTACGAATAATTTTACCGTTTGAAAGCTTTATAAGAAGGTAAATCAATTATGATAATATTCGAAATAAGCGAGTTAACAAAGCAACATTATTTCATTATACAAACAACGACAAAAACACTGTAAAAATCTGTATTAAAAAGGGAAAGCGTCGATGACACACCGAACATTTTTTGGGTGTTCACGTAAGTTACGATTTACGTATTTTTGGTTATCTGTTAGAATAAAATCTTGTTTAACCACAAAAACTACAGCAACTACACAAAACTACACCGAACTACACCAACTACCCCTAAATACATCAACCTACACCAAAATACAGCAACTACACCAAACTACATCAGCTACACCGTGCCAACTACAGCAACTACACTAACTGCACGAACAACAGTACCTACAGCAACTACACCAACTACATATACTACACCAACTACACCGACTACAGTGACTACACTAACTACAGCAACTACACCAACTACACCAACTACATGTACTATACCATCTACATTAACTGCACCTACCCCGCCAACTACAGTAACTACACCAACTACAACAACTACACATACTACCCCGACTACCCTAACTACAGCAACTACACCAGCTACATATACTACACCAACCACACTAACTACACCAACTACACCAACTACACTAACACAGCAATTACACCAACTACATGTACTACACCAACTGCACTAACTACACCTACCACACCAACCACAGCAACTACACCAACTACAACAACTACACATACTACATTAACTACATCTACTACACCAACTACACTAACTACAGTAACTACACCAACTACGGCAACTACATATACTACACCTACCTACAGCAACTACAGTAACTACAGCAACTACACAAACTACAGTAACTACAGCAACTACATATACTACACCAACTACACTAACTAAACCAGCTACAGCAACTACAGCCACTACTGTAACTTTAACATAGTGGGCAAAGTGGTCATGGAATGTCTCTATATTCGTGACGGTTATCATGAACCCATTACCCCAAAAAGGAATTTCAACAAATTTTCTCCTAAACGAAGCTAAATTCCTTATTATAGGAAACATGGTTCGTACAACTTCAGACAAAACAAATTTCAAGGACTTTTCAAGGATTTTCCAAGGACAAATTACAATTTTCAAGGACTAAGATTTATGTAATAAATCGGCATTCTTTAACCCCCTTTGAACACCCTAGTGGCTAGAACACGTCATGGAGTCATTTATGAGTTTTACTTCTTCCGCCATCGTTGATCACATTATTTCATACCACTTTCCGCAACAACACTTTAAAAAAAATGACTGGGCATGACTTGCAATTCCATCTGAGGTAAAAAATAGCATTTGGAAGAAGCAAAAGGAAATAAAAAAGGAAATGAAAAAGGAAATAACACGTTACCCGTGAGTTTTACAGGTTCTGACACCAAGAATGAGCCAAATTTTCCTCGGCAAAATAATCTTATTTTACAGAAGAGGGTGGTTTGCGTATACAAGGTAGTGAATTTATTCAAGACCTAATAAAGAAATCAAGTACTTTTCAAGAACTTTTTCTCGGCCCTTCGGGCCTCAGTTTGGTCTAAAAATAAGGGGGGGGCGCAGGCCCCTCCGGGCCCCACCCCTGGATCCGCCACTGAAAAGTTTCTCCTTGGCAAAAGGCAAAGCCACTTTTCAAATGTTTTCGCCGCCGTCGCAGTCGTGATATCAGAGAGTTTTGCTCATCGTTAGTCTGGCAAATAGATGTCTTTCTTGTAAGACTTGTTTGACGACCGTGCTTTGTCTTCCGAAGACAAAAGGGGCATTTGTTTCCTCTCCGCCCGCCTAACAGATCACAAGGATGTTTATGACACATGCATGTCGAATATTAGTTACATATAACTGTTAGCATTAGGGTAAAAACGAATTTTTCTTATATTTGGAAGTGACAAAGCTAAGAGCAAAAATATCTCAAAACGCTATCAAGAACAAAACAGTGAACCAGTAGACTGCAGCCCTATTAAGCAAATGGCCCCAGTTGCTCTACAAGTGGGATACCCTAAATACTCTCGTTCTTTGGCCATCGTGGTGTGATAAGATAGAACACGGAAACTGGGGTGAAAATTTTTTCCTTATGTTTATCACCACAGTTTGCGTGTTATTTCTTAGGATTACGCTATCGTCCGGATAAATCACTATCCATTTAGAGAGAAAGGCAATTGGTTCTCCTAATACTTAGCCACTGGATAATACTGGTGATTTATCTTGTGGATATCGCTATCCAGCGTTTGAACAACCGGGGCCAGATACAGCCTCGTTCCCAGGGTCCTCTCCTACCCGTGAGAGTTAGCACCGTGGGAACGAGGTTGATAGTCTTTCGAGGGTTAATCTTCCTTACGTCACCAAGAGAACATTCCTTTTTGTTCTCTTGTCAACACTCACCGTTGATCAAAGACATCATAACACTGAGAAGTTCTTCACACTGCCTCTGCCAGCTGTACTTCTCTGCGTAAAGTGTACGCAGTTCTTGACATTCCTGAAATGCTCTTTCACTGCCTTTCTCTCGGGTGGTTTTAATGGCCTCAGCCCAGGGCTCTGGATCTTCAGAATCTACGATGAAAGCTGACCCAACTGTAATGTCTTGAACAGCTTCTGCAAAACCACTGTTTTGACTGACAAGAAAAGGTATACCAGCCGATAGCGCCTCCAGAGCATTCAAGTCGAAACCCTCTGTTCGAGATGGAATGATGACAAGATTGGAAGAACATAAGAGAGTTATTAGATCTTCGCGTTTTTCAAGATATCCTTTCACAATCAGCTGATTTTGCAACAAGCCATGCTTGAGTAGTTCCTCAGTCACATGGGATTGACTCCCTCTGGATGCGCCAACGAACGTGAGATGATACGTTTTATCGACCAGTTGGGCAACTGCTTGAGCAGCGATGTCGTAGCCTTTAAGTTTGAAATCTTCCGTGTCACCGCGGCCAAGGACTAGAATTCGAAATTTCTTCCCTTGTATTGAGGATACTTTTAAACTTGCCAATTAGTTAAAAATACCTGGAGTGAAATTAAAAACTTTTTTCCCGCAGAAATTGAGGAGGGCTGTGTAGAATTCCGTTAACTTTGGTCCAACGGCCACGACAACATTAGCCATTTCACACAGTTTAAACTCTGCCGATTGTTTCTCTTCACCTTTAGAAATGGCGCTAGAATAGTTCTCATACACTGCAAGTTCATCGGGTGCAGTGTGCACTACTTGTATCCGTTTACACTGACGAGACTTGCGTATAAACTGTGCTTGTTTTCCAAGTATTACACCATCTCCAACGACAAAGTCAATCAGGAGATCCTCCGGTGGGGTAGTCAACCAGTCAATGGGGTCATAGCCCGGTCGCTCTTCCGCCTCTACTATTTTTACATTGTAATGGCTAGCTTCTCTCTTGTCTTCATCAGAACATTTTGGAACAAAGAAACTGATCGAGGTATTAGAAAACTTAGCCATCTGTATGGCTAGCTCCCTCTTCATTGTTGACAGACCCTCCTTTGAAGACTTCCATTCGCTTGCCAAGAGTGTAATGTATATTGGTCTGGTAGTCGTTACTACTTCTGAAACAGAAAAATGAAGAATAGGAAAGCAAGAGGAAATTATGGTCAGATCAAGATTTGATTTAATCAGTTCAAGAAATGCCTTGAGTTCTTCAGAACCAATTAAACCGACTCTAAAACTCATTTTAGCCCTTAAAACTACTCATTCCAAGTAGTTTTAAGTCCTGGTTATGGGCTCCTAGTTCACCTTTGTAAAATGATTTATTGACCATAACTTCGGCAAAGAGGATAGAACTGAATCAAAATTTGACACAAATAAACAGCTCATCGTCCGTATCCTTAATAAATGTAGTGTTGGTAAGTGACTTGACTATTTTACTGAAAATCTTAATCATTAACAAATTTGCTGACAAGTTTGAGAAAAGAATCAAGTAATAACGTTTCTCTCATTCATATTACATATTTCTAACTCGACTGTTTGTCCATTGCACTTCAATAAAAAACTAAGAGGGCAAACATAATATTATTAAGTAGTGGATAAGGCACCGGTTACGCCGGTTCTTTGTGGATTTAATTAACTTTTTGAGTGGTATAAATTAACGCGGATGGCGTCATGCATCTCATTAAGATAGGATGATGTCATGGTTTAAATTAATGCCGATGACGTCATGCATTCCATTAAGATAGGATGATGTCATAGTTTATTTGTAGCTGGCAAGGAGCAAGTGACGTCAGAATACCCTGTCCCTACTTGGTCATGATGATGTCATATTTTTTCCAGGTAAGATGATGTCAGGGTTTATTTTTTACCAACCAGTTTTTTCTATTGTTTCAAAACACATAAAATGGTCATTTCTTACCAAGCAAATCATTCTCGAGATTTGAAATCATGGTTGGATCAGACCAGATCATAATTGATGAAGTTGAAATGGGAGTACACATCATACGGAATAAAATAGGAGAGATTTTTCAAGATGTATTTGTTAGAGAAGTGAATCGTCTGATCTATGTAGCAGTGAATGAACACCGCGATGGTTGTAAAATGGATGATTTATCTCAACTGCATCACACTTGCTTGACCACGGATGCTCAGGAGGCGTGGGCAACATATTTTGAATACGTGAAAGGGAAAGTAGACTTGAAAAAATTATGGAAGCTTGCACAGCAGGAAGTGGAAAATAGACTAAATTTGCAGTTAAAAGAGACTTGGATGAAATATTTAGTTTGCCTTTGTAAGATGGATACTAGCACAGTCTATTTACTCTATATGGACCTTTTAAGAAGGGACGAATGCCATCAACTTGGGTGTTATGAATACATGTTTGAGAAAGATTGTTCACAATAAATGTATAACAATAAAGTGAATTATCTTATTTGTGGTTCTAAGGTAAACCCTAACTTTTTTGGTTCTTGAATAAACTCCATTCTTGTTCCTAATGAGTGGAAAGTCTATTTATAAAAAGAGGGAATAAGAGATGCGATCCCCTAGTAACACATGTCTTCTTATTTAGCGCTAAATATCGGATATATAACAAAACACACACACATACAAAAAGTGGAGCTGAAAACTCTCTACTTCAATTTTGACTCACCATTACAAAAGCGTTTTCTCCGTTCTATCTCGAGGAAACGATTAACTATTGAAATCTCAGCGCTTGATGAGCTTATGGTTTTGTCAATTTACGCTCCGTTAGCGTTAGTCAGTTAATTATGCCGGTTAACAAGCCTAAAGTTGAATACAAACTAGTTCATCTCTACAGCTAGACCCAAGGGAGCACTTTGACTCATTATTGTAAAAACACAAACAATTAATAACTTAACAAGGATCAATTTAAACAAGCGACAAATAAATTGACAAGACACGAGATACAGTTTTAAAAACTTTATTGAAAACAAGTGACAAAAAGAGTCGAATACACAGCAATTTGGAAGGGATGGAAATTAGACCTCCTCTTCGTTCTCCTCTTTAGAAGGTGAATAAAAACTGGTTTCCAACGTCTTGGCGTTTTTGTGTGTAATTAATCCACAATCGTGACACCGAAGAAAGCCCTCTTTGATATATTTTCTCTCCTCGGAGATCTCGTGATCGCATATAGGACAAATCTTGTAGTTATCGTGCCAAAAGCATTTAGGACATTTCATGATCAATGTGGAGTACACATTAGAGTTTTCGCAATGTCCACAGGGACTTTTAGAGTGAAAGGTGATGGACGTTTCAAGGCTACTACTTTCTGTTTCCTCACTATCATTTTCAGTGTCGTTGTCGCGCTCTTGGGTGCCTTCAGTTTCAACGCCATTCTCAGAAGCCACCTCCTCCTCCTTCTCCTGATTTTCAATATCCGATGAACTCTCCTCATTATTACTCTCATTATCGGAAGTATTTTCTACATTTCGGTAGCCTTTTTCCTTTTCTATTAAATCACTTAACAATTTTTTGTTCTTGACTAAACCTTTATCGATTCCTAACTCTGCAAGTCCATCTAGAAACGTATTCAGCGCACGAGGCTTGTTAACCTCATTGTTATGAGGGAGTAACGCATACTCAACTAGCTCGGCGATGTTTGTGACGGGAATAGTGCGTTTATTTCGAAGTAATTGTCCGCTGGGAGTCCAGAAAAGAACATCTTTGGACGCGGCCATACTATGCAGCAAATCAGAAGCACGCTTTACCGACACTGCTCGGGAAAGATGACTCAAAACATCTTTTATTCTTGGTTCTTCATTTATTCTTAGTTCTTCATCCTCGCTTTCATCACCGGAACTTTCGCTTTCTTCATGTTCACTCTCGTGTTCTTCTTCAACCAAATCTATCTTTCTCTTCATTTTGATGAGTACCCGTGACAGACCGTAGCTTCAAATGAGTAACTTATAGTTTCGTTTCCTCTTTTATAGCATCAAAAATCCTAGGCTTGTAACAGCAGGTACCAATAGGTCTTGAATAAAACCATCGCCCTCTTGTACAAGGATTCGCTTCTTTGTTTTGTAAGGGACATTTGTTTCTGCTAGGTTTACTAGAGCATCCTTATATGGCAACACGTTCCGCTTATTTTCTTCGGGGATAAGAATGTATTCCTTAAGTATATTGTATAAGACTTGGACTAATGCATGTAGTTGTTGTGGACTGGCTGTCCGTAAAAGAAACTGTCGCTGATGAGCTGGACAAATAGCTAAGAGTTGAAGAAAACCACGATTGTTCTTGACAACTCGAGACATTGCGACAAACTAAACTTATCATTGTAGTTTGCAGTCTTTATTGACTGTCGTGGAGAAAAACAATGGAAATGTGGTGGCGGTGGAGGGAAAACAATAGAAATGTGGTGGCGGTGGTGGAGGGGAAACAATAGAAATGTGGTGGCGGTGGTGGTGGTGGTGGAGGGAAAACAATAGAAATGTGGTGGCGGTGGTGGTGGGGGTGGTGGAGGGAAAACAATAGGAAAGTGGTGGTGGTGGAGGAAAACTATTGAATTGTATAGCCTTCAAAACTATATCAATGCGCATTATGCTAACATTTTCTCAGTCTACATTCTGCTCCTGAGGAGTTAACATGAGTTGGCTCTGTTCTGTCTGCGAAAAGTCCTTTAGTAGAAAGGATAGCATGCAAAGGCACGTGATGTCTAAACACTGCAATGCTGGTCTCACCCCATTTCAAACAGTTCCAATATTTTCACAGAAATGTCAGCGGTTTTGCTACGAGCACCCTTTCACCTCCATGATTGCCGGAATGACCGGGTCCGGAAAAACGGCCTGGGTTCGATCGCTATTGCAACAAGCTTCAGAGACCATTTACCCTCCCCCGGAGAGGATCGTTTGGTGTTATTCACAATGGCAGCCTGCGTATACACAAATGTTAGTCGCCATGCCAAACATTGAATTCGTCAAGGGAATTCCTACGGCTTTGGAGCAGGATTCCTATTTTGATGTGAACAAACGGAATTTGATCGTGTTTGATGATCAGATGATTGACGCTAGTAAAGATAAGCGAATTGTGAACCTCTTTACTCGTGGTTCTCATCATCGCAATCTCAGCGTGATTTATATCGTGCAGAATCTATTTCATCAGGGGAAAGGTAGCCGCAGCATAAGCCTAAACAGCCATTATCTGGTGTTATTTAAGAATCCACGAGACAAATTGCAAATCTTGACTCTGGCGAAGCAAATGTATCCCAGGCAGACGGATTTCTTTTTAAATCAGTATGAAGAGGCTGTAAAAAGACCTTTTGGTTATCTTCTGATTGATCTGAAAACTACTACCCAAGATAATTGTCGGTTGCGAACAAACGTCCTGCCCAGTGAAGAAGGCTTTAACCAAGCAGGGTTTCAAGAAAATATTCCACAAGAGCTTCTAAAATATCTGAAGCAGCAAACTCTTTCGCCTGTCCCGCTTCTTCCAGCTATGCAAGAAATACAAGGCAACATGGATGACGTGCTTTCTCGAAACGATCTTCGGGACGATGAAAAAGCTAAACAATACCTTCAGTTGCAAAACAGATACCTGGCTTTTAAAGAACAATTAAATAGAAGAACACGACCGGGAGAAATAATCAGCACTGTTCCAGACTTAACATCAAGGACACAAGATTCTTCGACAGCAGCGACAGCATTCTCGACTCCCCTCAACCCCTTTAATGTAACACCTGAATTAACACAAGCGGCTATCTCTCATAAAACCTGACAAAGAAAGCCTCACCCCTCCACCACCCTTAAATCCTGCTCTCCTGACCCCTCCTCCCACAGTAGAAACCCCATCACAACAAGGCCCGAAGCGCAAAAGGCGTCGAATTCAATTTGTAAATTATTTGGATGATCATAAAGCCCATGCCAAACAGCTGAAGAAACGTCGGCATAAGAAATTCAAACCTTACAAGTACTCCATGGGCGAAGAAGATGAAGATTAATTAATTTCCATTCCTTCAAATCGCTGTGTATTCGACTCTTTTTTGTCACTGGTTTTCAATAAAGTTTTTAAAACTGTATCTCGTGTCTTGTCAATTTATTTGTCGCTTGTTTAAATTGATCCTTGTTAAGTTATTAATTGTTTGTGTTTTTACAATAATGAGTCAAAGTGCTCCCTTGGGTCTAGCTGTAGAGATGAACTAGTTTGTATTCAACTTTAGGCTTGTTAACCGGCATAATTAACTGACTAACGCTAACGGAGCGTAAATTGACAAAACCATAAGCTCATCAAGCGCTGCGATTTCAATAGTTAATCGTTTCCTCGAGATAGAACGGAGAAAACGCTTTTGTAATGGTGAGTCAAAATTGAAGTAGAGAGTTTTCAGCTCCACTTTTTGTATGTGTGTGTGTTTTGTTATATATCCGATATTTAGCGCTAAATAAGAAGACATGTGTTACTAGGGGATCGCATCTCTTATTCCCTCTTTTTATAAATAGACTTTCCACTCATTAGGAACAAGAATGGAGTTTATTCAAGAACCAAAAAAGTTAGGGTTTTTCCTTAGAACCACAAATAAGATAATTCACTTTATTGTTATACATTTATTGTGAACAATCTTTCTCAAACATGTATTCATAACACCCAAGTTGATGGCATTCGTCCCTTCTTAAAAAGTCCATATAGAGTAAATAGACTGTGCTAGTATCCATCTTACAAAGGCAAACTAAATATTTCATCCAAGTCTCTTTTAACTGCAAATTTAGTCTATTTTCCACTTCCTGCTGTGCAAGCTTCCATAATTTTTTCAAGTCTACTTTCCCTTTCACGTATTCAAAATATGTTGCCCACGCCTTCTGAGCATCCGTGGTCAAGCAAGTGTGATGCAGTTGAGATAAATCATCCATTTTACAACCATCGCGGTGTTCATTCACTGCTACATAGATCAAACGATTCACTTCTCTAACAAATACATCTTGAAAAATCTCTCCTATTTTATTACGTATGATGTGTACTCCCATTTCAACCATGATTTCAAATCTCGAGAATGATTTGCTTGGTAAGAAATGACCATTTTATGTGTTTTGAAACAATAGAAAAAACTGGCAGGTAAAAAATAAACCCTGACATCATCTTACCTGGAAAAAATATGACATCATCATGACCAAGTAGGGACAGGGTATTCTGACGTCACTTGCTCCTTGCCAGCTACAAATAAACTATGACATCATCCTATCTTAATGGAATGCATGACGTCATGGGCATTAATTTAAACCATGACATCATCCTATCTTAATGAGATGCATGATGTCATCCGCGTTAATTTATACCACTCAAAAAGTTAATTAAATCCACAAAGAACCGGCGTAACCAGTGCCTTATCTACTACTTTATTAAAATGCCCTTGCTTAAATGAATTATTCAAAACTTTAAAAGGTGTTTCGATACAGTTTTTCAGAGGCCATACCGATATTTTTCAATCGCCTTAAAAGTGTTTTTTTCCTTATCTGATCGCTATAAAACTTTGACCAATGATTGACTATAGATTGAAATTTGTGAAAATGTAGGTTTTAGCAAAATAGATATTACTATGACAGCAATAAACAAAAAACTTTGTAATTGATAAACGCCTAATTTTGCGCGATCTAGACCAGCTACTGAAAATCCAACACTAGGAACTTAAAGTTTGGTGTTTAGCAAATAACCTCCGTAAGACGTAAAAAATTCTGTATGTTTGAATTCGACTAAAACGAAAATATATTTCAAACCTTAAATTTTCAATAGCCGTGATAGATTATTTAATAAAAACGTTATAAATGACTCAAATTATTCTTAACTAGCGTCAGAATGCTGCTTAATATCATATTTCGATGCTAGAAAATTTTGGTGTATTTTCGTTCTTGCGATCTTAAAAACTAACCCGTTTTCTCACCACCTGTCTAAGTGCAACTTCATTCAAAATTTGGACTTTTAGTGCTTTTTTGTATATCTCTGAAACGACTCGAACGAATTTTTTTAAAATCTCTTCACATAATCTTGATAATGTATATAATAATGTCTGAAACTTTCATTAAGATTGATTCACTGCAACACCTTGAAATTTCAAGACAAACCTATCCTACGAACTGGTCAAAAATCCGCGCTACAACATTCACTGTTTTAACGTTATGTTAATTTTTTCAAATTAATGCGGACAATACATATATCCATGACTAGTACATTTCAGCGTGAGTATTGTCAATGTTTTACATTCAAAAGATGCGATAAATTCAAACTAAAATGTACTAGTCATGGAGGTATGTATAGTGCGCATTAGTTTGGAAAGATTAGCATAACATCAAAACAGTGGATGTTGTAACGCAGATTTTTGACAGGTTCGTAGGATAGGTTTGTCTTGAAACTTCAAGGTGTTGGGATCTCTTCGTGTGAATATACTAAAACAATTATTCACCTCAGGCTCAGCTAATATTGTTGATTATTATTCATACAAAATATTTCCCCAACTCTGATTGGCTAAAAGCACACGCATAATTCACCATAACCAGTTACTGATGACCAAATTTGGAAGAATTCTGTGTTTAACGAGGAAATGACGTCAAAAATGCAGCCTTCTACAGGTTAAAGCACCGGTAACCGAGAAGACCTTGGGACCAGGTTGAGTTGTTTTCGTTGTGAAAACTAAAATGGCGGACACTTTACTCGTTTCAAGAGTAAGAACTACAGCTGGACCTAGGCAAAATAATGGCTAAAAACATACTAGCAAAAACAGCAAGAAGACAACTCGGAGGGCGACATCTGCTATTTGGAGAATATTTGCGGAGCTGGACAAACCTAAACGTACACTATCGAAGATAAACTTAACATCGATAGAGGTAAGCATGTTTTGGTTATGTTTTTAAACTAGGAATTATTTTGAATGAATAATATAGCA